TAATATATATGGGATAGAACTCAGTAATCTGGTGCGGGGCAGGTAGCCAGGCAGGCAAACTTGAGTGAACCTTGTATGAGTATGAGAGAAGGGTTTCCTGATATAGGATCGGAGATCTTCAAGTACAGAAAGGCCTAGGGTCTGTCCTAGGAATAAAGTGCATTGAATTCATGGCAACCATGATAAGAGCTCAGAGACCCTATTTTTCTTAATCCTGGGCTTGGGATCATGTAAGTGACAAGTGAAGATAAGAAATCAGACAGAAGTTTGACATCTGGATATTTGAGCAGCGCTGTCATTTGTATTAATATAGAAATATCGTTTCCAGGACAGTTTGTATTTAGGCAGAACCACTCTGATGCAGTTATTACCATTCTGCATTTAAACTGTGACAAAAAATGAGACAGAAAAGGGAAAGTGCTGGCTTTTGGAAGTTAGAGATCATCATATGACTGGAACTTCTTCAGATCTATCTCTGAGTGCTGCCTTCATCTTGGGACGCTCATTTGCTCTAAACTAAGTGATTCAGCACTATCAACACACCCTCACCCTGCAGTTCTCCCTTCTAAGGCTGACACCATTAACTACACCATCGTTTCAGAGGGGTTTTTTCTAATAAGAGGAAGTACTGTCTTTATCCAGTTATCACACATTCCTTTAAAAGATAATATTGCTTCAGTGCTTTTTGCTTTCCTACTGTTGAAAATACTAACAAACCATATTGGTGAATGCCACTCTACGGTGTTTTACTATAGCTGTTATTTTCTTCCACTTTAAAAATAAATGTTATTGAATATATTCCATATATGTAGAATGTATATCATAGAATATATATACTATAGATATATATATATATATATATGATAATATAGGTAGTAAAAGAGTAATTATCGAGAAGCAAGTTAACATATCATCATCTCACAGTTACCCATTTTTATTTTTGTGGCAAGGGCAGCTAAAATCAATTCATTTAGCAAGAGTCTTATACACAGTACAACTTTACTGCCCACAGTTTTCATGGTGTACATTAGATCTCTTTCTGTCGTCAATGGCTCTTCCTTCAATTTCCCCTATTAAATCATTCAACTGGTATGTGTGGTCCATTCTAAGTCCGAGATGTATTTTACCTTCCTCTCACTTGAGCCTGCCAGAATTCTAATCTATGGCTCTTGCAAACTTCTATTTTCCAAACATCCCTTTTCCCTCCCCCTTCCCCTGCCTATCCCAAAATAATATAGTGCCATATTCTGTCATTGCTAGGCCCGAAATCCCCACTTTCTGAACACTGTCACTGGTTAGTTCTCAAAATATTTCTTCTTTCCCTTTGAATGCTATATTTTCACCTTTAGTTCCTTTTATAGCACTTCTTACCACCCACCTCCTCCTGTTCAATCTTTATATTAGCACCTTCCAGTTTTATATACTCCATATAGTTTTGGTGATGCAACCAAAGAATTATGTCAGAATACTCTCATCTGTCTACTCCAGGGCTCTATCCTTAATATCTTCAAGTACCTCTCAAGAAATTTTCTTTTCTAAATAAGAGAAAAGGAAAAAATGGAAAGAAAATCTCTGTAAATAGGGACGGGGGGGGTGAAGGGAGGGCAGCAGTATGGGGAAAAATAAGAACAAAGATACATCATGTAAAGGTACAAGATCCCAATGAAGAATGTAACTATATTGTATACCTAAAATGTACCAATAAAGAAAAGGAGAGAGAAAAAATAGAAATTTTCTTTTCTACATTCCTTAGAATTTAGCAATTACATTTCCAATTGAATTTACTTAACCATTGTCTTTTTTATATATTCCTCAAAACCTCCAGAAAAAGAATTATCAGATATTTTGTTGTTGTTCTCCACATCCCTCCCCCAGCCCTTTCCTCCTTCCTCGGATTGTAATCGTCAAAAATAGCAGGACTGAACTTCTGAACATCTAGTATGGAGCTATACACTGAGCTAAACAAATCCCTTCCCCAACTCTGCACAACCCTGTACAATTCCTGGCTTTCTCTCGTCAGACCATCCCAGACCATCCTCCTACCTCTCCCACAGCTTTCCAATTAAACCAGTAAGCCCCCATTTTATAGGACATAAACACCCTTCCCCCTTCAACTCATTCGGAAAGAATTCTCTCTATAAATCTGGGCCTCCCTTAAGCTGGCTGCTGAACTGACTTCTGCAGCTTTTTTGAAAGGACCTATTTCTCACTGGCACAAACACCTAAGGTAGGGGAAGGACTACTTGCTCCTAGGAGCCACTAACAGACCAACAATCTGTCACCGTCCTTTCAGGCCTAGGACCTCTGACTGACTTCCTCCCCAGCTCCTCATCTCTTGGTCCAGGTGGCCAACCCATTTAACACGCCTGCTTTCCAGGTCCTTGTCTTCCCCATCACCAATATTCTCTTCCACTCACTTCAGCCACTCAGGCTTTCTAGATTCTACCTCAGATTTTCTCATCACTGGGGACAACTTCCTCTACAACCAACTACCCTGCCTGCATCTCAAGGCCCTCCCCTAGTTAGCTGCCTCCATGACCCTAGAAAGCATTTCAATACTTCAGCCCTCCCTTTCTGCCAGGTGAGTGGTTTATCCTGACCTCTCATCCTTCCCTAAGCAGCTTGAGTTCTGTGGCTGATGTCCAGAATTGCTCTTTCCAGAAAATCTTTGCCTGAAATTCCTATTCCGACTGACTACCTGGGCAGTCTCCTACTCCCTCTGACCTCATTCCCTGGCTATCATGCTCTGGGTCCTTGCTCTCCCAACTAAATCTCTTCCTAAACCAGCTTCATTCACCTACTCCTGGCCTACCAAATTCTCTTCCAAACTTCCCTCTGGATAAAGGAAATAAAAATCCTACATTTCTATTATAATGTATGGTTTTAAATTGTTTTTAGATATGTGTGCTATGTCATCTACAAGACACCCTCATATGAGGTAGACGTTAAGATGCTATTATATAAATATTTTTTCCTCATTGAGTTTATTGGTACATTTTAGGGATACCGTACAGCTACTTTCATCACTGGGCTCTTGAACCTTTACATGACAGGTCTTGGTTCTCATTTTTTCCCCTTGTCCCTGCCCTCCCTTCACCCCCTCCTTCCCTTCCCATTTACAATCACTTTATTTCCATTTTTTCATATTTTCATATTTTTTCTTTTTCCTTATTACCTTTCCCCTACCCTTCCCACTTTCCCTACACCGTTAGCCCTTTTCTTACTATTTCACAATGTCAATTATCTCATTAGGATCCTGTGTGCTATTATAGTTTATTCACACCAGAGAAACTATTCGGTATAAGATGCTGTTATAGTTGAAAGACAAATTGAGATTTATGGAAACTATGTGGCTCACTCAAGCTCCCACAGTTTCAAAGAGTAGAACGAACAGGTCATAAAAATCAGAATATAGTTTCTCTCAACCAGACTGAGATACCTATGTTATTCCCAATTATTGGACGTGGCAGATGTGAGAATGACACATATAGGTGGATGATAAATACATTAATTAAAAAGAGGTATTCAAAAGACCAGTATTAAAAGCTATGACTGTACAGTCAGGGACCTCCTGTTTTCTGTAAGACTTGGCCATCCCAGAAGTAAACATTCAGATTTTAACTCTTGGCGTGGAGAGTAAATAAATCCAACCAAAGAGATGCAGAGAAACTCCACACTGGAGAGGCTGCTTCGTGCCCTCCGTGCTAATTTTCACAATCAAAATGCAAGAAATGAAGAGGATGTTAGCACTGAAAGAGCAAGGGAGCCCAGAGATGGTGAATCGAAGTAGAGGAGAGAGCAATTTGGAACTCTCTGTAGGAAACTCCTTTGCAGTACCAGGGATCAAACTCAGGACCTTGTGCTTACAAGGTGGGTGCATTGCCACTGAGCTAAATCCACAGCCCAGAAACTCCCTTTATATAAATGAGTGTACACTGAAAGAGAAGACGGGTGTGTGACATGTTCCACTCTGAGTAAAATCCAGAGGGTTTCTTTCTCATCCTGCACCACCTAGATATATATGACTTAATAAAGACAATAATTACATATTGCAAACATGTACAAATAAATAAACTTTTAAAATAAAGAAGATAAATATAATCAAGTATAAACCCTGATGGATATACAGAGAACAATTAAATTGAACAAAGACCCTAATTAAAATTATAAACAAATTTATGAGATGTGTGTAAATCATTTTGAGCTTCTTGGATAAAAACCTATTATTATATGTGTATTTATACAAGTTTCTAACAAAATTAATACCACCATCTGCCTTAGAACTGCCCTTATCCCTCAAAAATGCAAATATTTAGCAAAATAATCATTTACCTTGTAGAAGATCAAGAAGAGATCATCCAGTTTCCCATGCAAATCACCTAGAAGGCAAGTAAAAAAAAAAATCACTATACAAAAGGAAGCAAGATGTAATGCCTAGTTTGTTACACAATTTTAAAACTCAAAAACTCCAAGTACTCTCAGAGCATTGGGTTTTTACCCCAAGATGATATTAATTGAGCAGGTAATTTGCTCCCATGGCAACCTTTTCTTCTGTCCTATAGTGGGGAAGGTATCTGGCACTGTCATTACCTGCTCCCTCCAGCCATTCATACAGGACTTCACGTACTCTGGGCCAAGCACTATGCTAAAGGTTGTTATGTGTGCTATCTTCTTTAATCCTTACTTACACTTAAGAGATGAGTATTATTTTTATCATTCTCCTTTTCAAAATTAAACTCAGAGTAATTAAGTAACATTTTCCTCTCATTGAGTTTATTGGTACATTCTAGGTATACAGTACAGTTACATTCATCACTGGGATCTTGTACCTTTACATGACAGGTCTTGGTTCTCAATTTTCCCCTTGTCCCTGCCCTCCCTTCACCCCTCCTCCCCTCCGCATTTACAAACACTTCATTTCCATTTTTTCATTTTCTCCTATTTTTTTCTTTTCCCTTATTACCTTTCCCTTACCCTTCCCATTTTCCCTACACCTTTAGCCCCCTTCTTCCTATTTCACATTGTCAATTATCTCATTAGGATCTTATGTACTATTATAGTTTTTCACACCAGAGAAATTATTCAGTATTTACACATGTGTGACTTATTTATTTCACTTAGGAGTATATCCTCAATATGTATCCATTTTCCTATGACTGAATCTAATTTCTCATTCTTTCTGGCTGAGTAGTATTCCATTTTATAGAAAAACCACATGTTCTTTATCCATTTTCCAACTGAAGGGTAAATGGGCTGTTTCCATGTCTTAGCTAAGTAATTAAGTAACTTATGCAGTTACTCAGATACTAAATATTGGAGCTGGAATCCAAAGCCAATGCTATCTCAATTCAAAACTGAACCTCTTAGGGATTACTCTGTCCCACCTACACTGTAAACCCTAGGAGAGCCAAAGCAGTATCTGTCACTGTCAACACTAAATATCCAAGGGCCTAGGCCAGTGAATTGTAAGCACTCAATCACTAAATGCATAGCTTTGAAAAGACATGTTTTAATGAATATGCTGCAGTAGTAGCAACAGAAAGAGTAAAGTTGTGCTTAGATAATTGACATTCTTTTATGAGACAATTATATAAAATAAAAATTAAAGCAAACTAAAGAAAACCATACGAATATATGAAGCCATTAACTAAAAAATAAGCTGGGCGTGGTGGTGCACGTCTGTAATCCCAGCACTCGGGAGGCTGAGGCAGGAGGATCGCTATGAGTTCAGACCAGCCTAAGCTACATGGTGAGTTTCAGGTCAGTCTCAATTACATAGTGAGACCCTGTCTCAAAAAACAAAACAAAACAAAAAACTAAAAAATAAATGTAACTACATGGATATTCAAAAGCCCTATTTGGATAAACATTTCTAGGTAAAATATCTGTCTTTCATAAGCTCTGCTCATAAATTTTTATTCCTCATATCTAACTCAATTACCATAGAATTGAATTTAGGAATACTTTTCCTCAGTTTGCTTAAAATCCCAAATAAGATTAATCAAGTATATGCAACAAAAGACTCCAATTACAGTGGGAATAATAAAATTAAAATCATATCAATAGCAATAATTAATTCAATGACTATAATGGTAACAATAATTAAGAGCATATTTATGTTGTTGAATGCCTAAATCTCATGTTTTCACAGGTTTCACTCTAGAGGTAAGGAAATAAAGATGGAAAAATATTTTATTTACCAGTTTAGCTTATTTTGTTAATTATTTTATCAATCTTCAGAATGACTCATCTTTCAAAAATTTGGCTATACAAGACTATAATAACTGGCATGCTTAAAAAATGAACTTCTAAAAAAGATAAAAATTTTAAAATGAACTTCTTTCAAGATACTAAGAGTTGAGCATTCTGGGTTTGATTTTCAGCACAGAAAAAAGACATGGTTGAGGCTATAAAAATATTTGTAACTTCTAGTTGGATAGCAAAAGAAAAACTTATACCATGAGAAGACACAAAGATATTTCCACAGCAAGCACAAACATGACTACAGAATTGGTTATCATTTATAACTTGACTATAGAGTAAAAAAAAAAAAAAAAAAACTCCACAGTCCATTCATGCTGAGAGCAATGGGAAATATTTAGAGGTGTGAATAAAATATACTTTGAGATTAAAATAAAAATACTTATCATATTGTCTCCCCCCTTTAGTAATATTTTCTTAAACAGATGATATTGGAAATATAGCCTCAACTTTAAGTTCTATTTCAAATGATGAGCAAATTTTTCAAAGTTCATTGAACTATTAAAAACCGAAAATAATTATTCTTATCTTAAGGGAACTATTATGGTTTAGATCTAAAATATCTACCAAAGTCTCATGTATCTAGAGGTGGGGCTTTGGAACATGATTGATCATGGAAGCACTATGTTCATCAGTGGATTAATTCATTGATAAGTTCATAGATGGATGTGCTTTTAGCGGGTAGAACCTGGTAGGAAGAGGTGGGTCACTGGGGACATAACCTGGAAAGGCATATTCTTATCCCCAGCTCCTCCCTTCTCCCCTTCTCTCTGCTTCTTGGCTGCTACAGGGGTGAGCAGCTATCCTTTGCCAGGCCCTTCCATCACACTGCTTCTGCCTTTCTGCCTTGGAGCCAGCTTACCATAGACTGACCCCTTTGAAACCATGAGCCAAAATAAACCTCTCCTCCTTTAAGTTGAAAGAGTCAGGCATTTTGTCCCAGAGATGGGAGAGCTAACTAATACAGGAACCTGCTGGTCTTGGCTTTTCCATCTTCCAATGATGTTATATGGAAAAATTCTGGAAATATATGCCCATGATGTGGGGATCCTTAAATACATGGAACTGTCCAATCCACCCATTTTTTTTTTTGTGGTAGAAAATGAAACATTTTTTTTTTTGTTTTGTGGTAGAAAATGAAACATTAGCTCAACAGGTACATGATGAGACTTGGGAGGGCAGATATGGATCTGCTTCTAACCAGGGATATACAGAGAACCTGATTTCCAATTCCGACCCTGCCACTAACTTACTAACTGAGCTTGGAGCAGGGAATTACTACATGGAAGAGCATGGAAGGCAATACACCTTTCTCTCTGGGCCTCAATTTCACCCATAAGAGTGAGGGATAGGGCTCGGAGTATATTTCAGTGGTAGAGTGCTTGCTTAGCATGCACAAGGCCCTGGGTTTGATCCCCAGCACCACAGTAAATACATAAATTGCAGCGGGACAAACTAAACCATCTCTGAAAGAACACTTCAGTTCTCATTCTGGGATTCCAGGATTTCCATGCCCTCTAACGATTTCATGGCTTTTCCAGATCCTTTTAGCCAAACATAAGTTAAAAATGACAGTTGGAGGTATAATGGAAGCACATAGGAGGAGATGGCACATTTTGTTTTGACTGTTATACATACTCTGACAGCAAGCCTGGCTTCACAGATCTTGGAAGAATGGCTTCTTGAGTCTTATAACCCAAAGATCTTTACTTCCATGGGAAGTAAGGCCTGATAGGGCCTTTAATAAAAGGTCCCCATGCTGAGATGTATCATCTGCTAGTCAGAGATGTGGTGGCTTGATTAGGTTGGAATTGAAACATTCGAGTCTTCAAAAACCTGAGTCAGGGCATGTCATGAGGTATATACTGCTACATCAAGCCCCTGTAGCTACTATCAGATGCAAGAAATGGAAATGGTTTAATTAGACTGTCAAATTCACTTCTACCTGACAGAGGAGGAAAAACACTGGCTAAAAATTGATTTGGAAAATAACAATCACTGTTTTGTAACCTAAAGGCTTAATTAGAAGTTAAGGAAATTGCTGTTCCTTCCACGCACCCCACTCCAGACAGTTGCAAGCATGCTGAGCACCAACTGTGATGAATTTCAATGTGTACTGTTTCTTGAAGCAGTATCCTGCCAGGCTGGCCTATATGATAACAAAATCTCAAATCTTGTTATTTAGAAGAACAAGAAACAGATTTCTGGGACATTCCCACTCTTCTAAAAGCTGCAGAGACCAGTTGGAAAAATCTAAAACAGCAGCCAAGGGCAGAAAAGAATTTAATCTCCACCCTGACTTGGGTTTTTCTCTTAGCAGCATAAGTGGCATGCAGAGGCACACCTAGAAAAAGTAACATAGAACAAAGATAATGAGAGCTAGTCAGAGGGCAAAGAATGCTTATTCCACCCATGGGTGGTTTTCCATATTAAAATGCTGTCTGCCTTTATAAAAAGCTATGAGTTCTTTAATTTCTCACATAATTAATTCCTGCCAGCTGGTATGCAAAACAAAGACAAGATGGGGAACAGTATTATCATGATAGATAATTCTATATTAACATTTTCCCTTAACACAGTACACAGTTTTCAGTTAGGCAAACGATGTAAGACCAAGAGGCTCCAAATATTAATTTGAGAACACTGTTTCGAAACTTACCACAGATCGTTAGGCCTTTGGAGGAAGAAGTTTTTATATGAGTGAAATTTGGCTTTTGCTTCAGGAATTTCTTGGTTTCAAAGAGCACCTCTAGGACATAATAGGCATGAAGTGTCTGTGAGGGGGAAGCAGAGGAAACAGATATAACAAACTAGGAAGAGTCACAACTATGTAGAAAATGAAAAGTGAAGCATGTGAGCACATTTTAAGATACAATATTTCAGGAAAATCTCTAAAATTTTCTCAAACAGAATATTCTAATAGTGTCTGGCGTATAAAAAATCCCCAGTAGATAGTTGTAATTGAATGAAGGAATGGTTCGTAAGATGTTTATACTCTCATGTTCTTCATTGACATCATCCATTTGCAGAACATTTCTGATTATTCTTGGTCCTTAGAGCCCAAGAAAAATAACAGTAAATAAGATTCACTTGTCCTAAAAAATGTGCAGACAAACTAAGAAGAAGGAGAAGAAAAAGAATACAGAGAATGAGAGGTGTTGTTTTGTTTTTATTAGGATTTCCTGCCACCTGGAATGGAAAGTAGGTGTTGTTGGGCTCAGAGATCTCAAATGGCAGCCAGACAAGATCCCAAGAAGCTCCTGAGTCTAGCCTCCCAGGCGTGGCTACAATATTTGGTGTATAGTCTTGAGAATACTCAGAACAGCAAGCATATTTATGTAAAAGTCTAACTACAAGTAAAACACTTCAATTATCTCCTATTTATGACTACCCCATTCCTCTCCTCCAATTATAGTGTTGATGAGATCATTGTTTTGTAAAGATTTACTATTTTCTCCCGTTTTTTAAAGACAATGTGTCATTCTCCTCCTTTTAAAATTATAAAATATTCCAAATACATACTCCCAAAATATAATATAGCAACAATGATATTACCACAGAAACTTAACAGATGTTAACACAACTTTAAGGTTCAGGACTATTTAGAACTATGCTCTCCAATATGGCAGCCACTAGCCACATGGGGATATTGGGCCCTTGGAATGTGATTAGTCTCAACTGAGTTGTGCTATAAGTACAAAATCTGTGCTGGATTTCAAAGACTTAGCATGAAGAAAGAAAGTAAAATGTCTCAGTAAATTTTATATTATTACATATTGAAATAATATGTTATACATTGAGTTACATAAAGTACTTTAAAGTTGATTTGACTGGTTTTCTTTTGAATTTTTTTAATGTGACTACTAGAAATTTCTAACTATATGGCTCAAATTGTATCCCTGTTGTTCCCAAGCTGGTTTAAATTATTGAAAGCTGAGAGAGTGGGTCATATCTATATATCTTTCAGATACTGCTCTGGGTATCAGATTGAGGGCAGGTGAAACCCGTTGGACTAAAGAGAGATCTACATACCCAATGTAATTCTCATGACAATCTCAATGTTTTGGCAGAAATGAAAAATAAATTGATCTTTAAATTCATTATAAGGGGTCTTAAGCTGCCAAACAGTATTGAAAAGGAAGAACAAAGGCGAAGGACTGACACTTCCCTATTTCAAAATGAGTGGTACTGCTGGGCGTGGTGGCACATGCCTGTAATCCCAGCACTCGGGAGGCTGAGGCAGGAGGATCTCTGTGAGTTTGAGACCATCCTGGGATACATAGTGAGTTCCAGGTCAGTCTCAACTACATAGTGAGACCCTGTCTCAAAAAACAAAAAAAAAACAAAAAAAATGAGTGGTACTGGCATAAAGATGGACACATCGACCCATGGAATAAAATTGAGAATCCAGAAACAAATCCATATATCTATGAAATACTGATTTTGAACAAGAATGCCAATACCACCTAATCGGGAAAGAACAGTCTCTTTAACAAATGGTGCTGGGAAAACTACATATTCATATTTGACCCTTGTCTCATACTATATATAGAAACTACCTCAAAATGGTTCATAGACCTAAATGGAAGGGCTAAAACTACAAAACTTTTTAAAGAAAACACAGGCATAAATCTTCATGATCATGGATTTGCAACAGATTCTTAGATATTATGCCAAAACACAAGCAACCAAAAGGGAAGAAATGGATAAAATGGACTTCATCAAAATTTAAAACTTTTGTGGACCAAAGTACATTATCAGAAAAATAAACATACAACTTACAGAACGGGAACAAATATATGAAAATCATGTATTTGATAAGGAACTTATATTCCAAAAGAACTCTTGTAACTCAATAATAAAGACAACCTGATTTTAAAATGGGCAAAGAATCTACATAGGCATTTCTCCAAAGAAAATATACAAGTGGCCAATCAATACATGAAAAGATGCTCAACATCATTAGTCATTAGGAAAATGCACGTCAAAATCATACTGAAATACCACTTCGTACTACAATAAAAATTAAAATACAAATAAAATAAAATAGCAAGTATTGGCAAAAGCATGGAGCAATTGGAACCCTCAAACATTGTTAGTGGGAATATAAAACTGTTGTTCAGTTACTGTGGAAAACAGTTTAGCAGTTAATAAAAAGATAAAACAGAATTACCATATGGTCCCACAATTCCACTTCATGGTACATATCCAAAAATGAGGACAGGTTCGTACAAAAATGTGTACAGGAATGTGTGTAGCAGCATTCTTCATAATAACCAAAAGGTGGACACAGTCCAAATGTCCATCCACTGATAAATTGGCAAACAGTATGTGGTGTGCAATAGGATATTGTTCAGCCACAAAAGTAGACAATGATACATACGATGATAAGGATGAACCTTTAAAAACTATAGAAAATGAAAGAAGCCAAATGCAAAAGGCCACATACTATAAAATTTCACTGATGTGACATATATAGAATAGGTAAATCCATAGCAACCAAAAGTAGCATAGTGGTTGCCTGGGATAGGAGAGGAGAGAATGGTAAATGAGTATAGCCTTTCTTTTGGGGATGATGAAAATGTTCTACACTTAGATATTGGTGGTGATAGTACAATCTTGTGGGTATATTAAAAATCACCAAGTAGTATATTTTAAAATGGCAAAATTATGGTATATGAATCATATCTTAGAAAATGAAGAAAGGAAATCCTGTGCACCTAAAGAGACTTCCTATTTAATAGGGTTTTTTTTTAAAGCAAAAGGTAAATTTTCATATAACATGAAATATTTTCCCGAAGAAATACAGTTCTGCTGTAGTCCTTTCATTTACTCATTCATTTATTCATTCAATAGACAGTTACTGAGCATTGGTTATGTACAAGAATCAGGGCAAATTCTACTTCTACTTGCCTTTTGATGCTTGAAGGCCTCAAGAAGTAAAGTAATATCAGTAAAAGTGAGAGGAAATTGCAGCCGTGGACCATCATAGGAATCTGGGACCTCTATCAACCCTATATATTCCTGTCTATCCTTGGTGCTTTTGAGAAGTTCATATGATAATTCTGGAAAAGGAAAGACAGAAAGGGTGATGGGGAATATATTCTAGCATTTAAATTTAATAAAGATATTTTAATACCTAACCCATGTGTGGCACTGTGCTAAATGTTATGAATACCAAGATATCCCACATATAACCGTGAGGAATGACTGATTCTGAGACTAGCAGGTACATTCACTTGGAGCATCTCCATTCCTTCCTTGGTTGATGTTTTGTCAAAGTAGTGAGTTCACAATCAGTAGGGAGAAGGAAAAATACAGTAAAAACTGGTCAACTGAGGTATTTTGATGCTCTGAATTTCTAGCTCTAAATTTTTGCCTACTCTTATATCTTAGGTGTTTATGAATAGGGATAAAAACATAATAATGCATTGTATTTGGTTCAAACAGTTGCTGCTATTCAAGATATACAGAAAATTTAACTGCAACATTTAATTTTCCCATGTTAAACACTTCAGAGGATTTTACTTAGTTGTAATTGAATTGCCTCTTCGTATAAAAATTGATTTTCTGGCATGATTTCCTTTTTTTCTTAGTAACAAAGCAGATAAAGTGGCAAACCATAGCCAGAAAAACCAAAAGCGCCCCCAACATTACTGTGCAGTAACAGATTGCTTACATTGCCCATTTTAATAGGTTCTGAGATCCACAGTCATTTCTTGCTGGATTGACCATGAAATAGTCCAAAACCAGAAATCCAGACAATTTGGACAGAGGAAAAATGAAAAGGGATCTATATATGGTAGACTGCAAATGTGGCTTCAATTCTCTATTCCAACATCTACCCATGATTTTTTTAGATGACTTCATAGCTGCTCTTATCTAGAATCTATTTTCCTATCCCTTGAAGCAGGTCTGGGCCCATGATTTGCATTGGCTTGAAGAACATGGCAGAAATGATACCCACCAGCTCCAAGTCCAGGTCTCAGAAGGCCTTGTATGGATCCATGCTCTCTTTTGGAACCCTGAGTTTAGGCTTAGCCAAGTGAAAGGTCCAAGACCATGTGAGGCATAGGTGAATCATCCTGGCCAGGGCTGTCCTAGACCAGCAAACAACCAGCAGACCTCCACATATGAGTAGACTCCAGCCAAAATCCTCAAAACTGTCAAAGCAAGTCTACTAAGATTACAAGAGATGCTTAGCTAATCTATAGACTTGCTAGAAAAAAATAAATGCTTATTACATGTCACTGAGTTATTGTGGTTAATACATAGTATTATTTCATTAAGAGATATCCCAGAGAATAATGACATGCTGTTCAACACATTAACACAAACTTACTAAGGTCATTCATCTGAAGTTCTCTGCAAACAATTTCTATCTTTTTAAATAATTTGGAGTGGTCAGGTTTGTAAGGTATGTTCACAGATGCAGACAGAATACATTTTTTTTCATGATCCAGTTATGCTCACAGATTACAGGTAAGAACTAAATTTGATTTAAATCTGATTTCCTGTCCTATCCCCAGTAATCTATTGTCTGACATTTCTTTATTAATTGTTCCTACTGTTTCCTCTCCTTAGACTCCCTTTCTTCTGTCTTTATCTTCTTTGGATAATTTGTACTTATCCTTCAGAACTCAGCCACCCATCCAGGTTGAGCCTCAAACCCTACCTTGTCCATGGCATCATACTGATGATGATGACGATGCTGATAATGATAAGAGTTCCCATTTACTGAATGCTTACTGTGTGCCAGGCACTGTTCTAAGGTCTTTATATGCATAGACTCATGCAATGATCACAATTACTCTATGAGAGGGCCGGGCATTTGGCTCAATGGTTCTGCCGCCTGCCTCGCAAGCACAAGGACCCAAGTTCGATCCCTGGTGCCATAAACAAAAACAAAAACAAACAAAAAAACTACTCTATGAGATAAATATTGTTATTTATTGTTATTTCCCCGATTTTTACATGAATGGAGCACAGTGGAAATGTGGACCGAATGCCAAACAAGATGGCTCTGAGCTCAAACCCTTAATCATTTTACTTTTACTCCATATTTTAAAATAGATTTATCATATATAATATATAATACTATTTACACATTTATAATTGATTTATTGAGTAATTTCAAATCTGAGGTATAAATAAGAAAGTATTTCATTTTCCCAATCACTGCTTTCACCCGTGCTCTGTCCTCTCTCCTTTTCGCATTGGCTAACTGATATAACAAGCAAATTCCAACCCTTCTAGTGATTAAAACTCAGGATTATCATTTGAGCACTATGTATAAGTTTATTATTTTTCTTTTTTAAAAATAAGCTCATTTTGGTCCTTCCTTTCATACACTTGATGATCCCCTTCCTTAAAAAGTTTAGTGATCAATATATGAAAAAGCACCACTTCTCTAAGCTAATTCTTAGTTAAAACTACTCAATATGAATATCAGTTAACATCAACTCATTCTTTTGCTAGTTTTTAGCAACATAAAAAAAGAATAACATAGATTCCCTTCTGATAGTTGTTTGCCACCTATGAAAACAATCAAAAGCTTTAACATTTCTAATGCACATACTGTCCTCGCAGGCTATAAACATTCTAACTAATAATATGTCAGTGAATGTCAACAATATATGAAGATTTGTGCTATGTAATTAGAATTAATCCTTAGCTGTTTGATTTAGAGTTTTAGCAACATGAACCTAAACTAATAAAATCTTGAATTATAACCAAATAATACCTTTACAACTTGTTCTAAAGAAAATACCTCAAAAATGCCACCCACACAGTCTTTTCTTTTACTCAGAACATACTCAAAATCTAGACAGCACATAATTTAAAAAAGAAAAACAATTTATACCTCTGCTACCTGCATACCACTTTGAAAACTAGGTTCTAGATATTGCTGGAAAAGAAAAGTACCAAATGAACCACATTTAAAGTTATTTCACTTCTCAATTATGACTATGGATTAAAACCTTAATGTCTATATAATAAATTCAATAGGCAACAAAAAGACACTTCACAAAATTCAATACTTATTACTGATTCTTTTAAAACTTAAATAATTAGGAATGGAAGGATACTTCCTTAGCATAATTTTAAAAATTAAAATAAATAATGTTTTTTTCCATTAAATCATTAACACAACAAAGATGTCCATTTTGCTGTCTCATTTTAATATTGTTCTGCTATCTCCAACCAAGGCAATAATGCATGAAGCTAAAATAAGAGCAATAATTAGAAACCACCAACAGAGCAAAGAAACAATAATAAATTAATCTGCTAGAAGATAAAACTCTTGAAGATGTAAGTGTAGGCAAAGACTTTATGAACAAAACCCTGATCACTCAGGAAATATTACAAAGAATCAACAAGTGAGATCTCATCATGTTAAAAATCTTTTTCTTTTTCCCCCCTCATTAAGTTTATTGGTACATTTTAGGTATACAGTACAGTTACATACATCGTTGGTATCCTGTACTTTTACGTCACAGGTCTTGGTTCTCATTTTTCCCCCATTCCTGGCCCTCCTTTTACCCTCTCCTCCCTTCCCTAGTTACAAAGACTTTGTTTCCATTTTTTTCCTTTTCTCATATTTTTTCTTTTCCCTTCTAACCTTTCCCAGACACCTCCCACATCCCCTACACCTTTAGACCTTTTCTTCCTATCACACAATATCAATTATACATTTTGATCCTTATTTACATTTAGTTTTTCACACCAGAGAAACTATTTGGTATTTAAACATGTGTCCTATTTATTTCAATTAAGAGTATGGCCTTAATGTGCATTCACTTAGCTATAAATGACTCCAGTTTCTCGTTCTTTATGGCTGAGTAGTACTCCATTTTATATATTTTTTTTAAACCCACATCTTCTTTATCCAGTCTCCAGTTGATGGGCAATTGGGCTATTTCCAGGTTTTAACTGTTACAAACCATGCTGCTATAATCATGGGTGTGCATATATCACTGTGCTATGATTCTTTTAATTCTTTTGGGAAGGTAGCCAGCAGAGTATCAGCTGGGTCAAATAGGACTTCTAATCCTAGTTGTTTGAGGTATCTCCATATTGATTTCCACAATGGTTGTACCAGTCTGCACTCCCACCAACAATGAAGAGTTCCTTTCTCCCCACAACACCGCCAGCATTTGTTATTGGCTATTTCTTTGTTTGTTTGTTTGTTTGTTTGGGGGGGGATTGGTACCAGGGATCAAACTCCGGCCCTTGTACTTGGAAGGCAGGTGGCAGAACCACTGAGCTAAATCCCCGGCCCTTGGCTGATTTCTTGACAGCAGCCATTCTTTATGAATGTAGCCTCACCTATATAATGAGCTCAAGACCAGCCTGAACTACATAGGGAGACTCTGTCTCAAAAAACAAACAGAAAAAGAACGTATCTGTGTTTCCATTTATCTAAAGAAGCTCAAAAACAGGCAATAATAATCTAGGGTGTAGAAGTTCAGAAAGTAGTTATGGGGTAGAGTGGAGGCTGGGTAGTAACTAGAAAAGGGCCAGAAGGGTTCTCTGTGACTTTGATACTGTTTCTTTTCTTGTTCTGGGTGCCTGTTTTATGAGTGTGTTTTCTTTGAGAAAATGTATTGAGTCATATAATTTGTGTACTTCCCTGCAAAGTATGTCATACTTCAAGAAAATCACTATTCCCTTCTCTGATAAAAATATTTTGTTATATTTTAAAATCTCTAGCAGAATAATTTTAACGCAGATTTTTAAAAATACAGAGTCTGAGTAAATATCTATTTGTGGCTCTGAAATATCTTAAGTGACTCTGATGAAATGAGGCTAGGTGGAATTGTACTATGTCAGTAGCAGAAAGTGTCATATTTCATCATTATATTTCCTCTCAAAAACATTTTTGCCAAAAACACAAAGTGCAAACAACTGTCTTGGGACTGCAATTATCTAAAAGGAAGAAAATGGCCAAAGTACCCACCTCCACCCACTCCCTACTCCTCAGGCTTGGCTGTTCTACCATTCAGAAAGCTTGTGCAGATCATTAAATGCTTTAATTAGTTTCATACATATGTACTTTCTCAAATCATGCATTAAAACATCATTCTTTCACCACTTTGAAATGTGTTTGCCAGATTATTTAAAAGGTGCTCCTACATATCATATACACCTTAATTAGATTTTAAAAATAGCCCAAATTAAAGAAAAAATGAGTTTTTAGGTCTTACACTGACCTAGGAGATCAATTTTCGGAGAAATATATACCTTGTAAATAATTTTGTTTAAAATAATTTTTGAACCACACCTATGTTACCTGTCTCTGATTCAGAATGACTTGACAGAGGATAGATGATAGAAACAGACATCCCTTTTTATGCTGTTATAATAGAACACCACAGAATGGATAATTTAGAATGAACACACAAATTTATTTGGCTAAGGGTTCTAGAGGCTGTAAAGTTCAAGATCAAGGGGACGTGTCTGGTGAGGGTCTTCCTGCTATGTTATAAATCCTAATATGGCTCAAGACATCGCAGGGAGAGAGAGCGCTTATGCAATAAAGAAGGCAGAGATTGAATTTATACTTTATAAGGACACCAGTCTTGAGATAATATAATGAACCCATTCCCATTTTCATGACAATGGCACTAATCCACTCAAGAGGGCAGGGCCCCTTTTCACTAATTACCTCCTATCCCACCTCTCAACACTGTTACACTGGGGATCAAGTTTCTAACACAAGCACACTGGGGGACATATTCAAACCATAGCAGACAGATACACAGATAGGAGAGAGAGAAAAAGGGGATGGGGAGAGAAGAAAACAGAAACATGTTGGGTCCAACTGCTCTTAAATACACCCACATCCACTATATATTCTAGAGATTTTGATTTCTCAGCACTAACAGTTTTGTGGCTGAAAAATAAGATCTTTACTGAGCTACTGTTATGCATCAATAGACTGTGGTTCAAGAAAGGATGTTTGACAAATGGATGCTGAATGAAATCTAATTCAGTTCTCTAAAAAGTGAAAACATTATATATCAACTTAGCAGGCACCACACAGACAGGGAAAAGCCAGTTGAACTGATTTCACCAGTCGTTGGGTGTCACATAGACAATAAAGATGGGCATCTTTTTAAATTTCTTAGTACTCTTCCATCTTCAGGATTTACGCTTCTTGTTGAGGGTATTCCATATTTAAAGACTACTTTGCAAAAGACTAAACATTTTGCTTACGTGGATCTTCCTTATTCATATGTGTGTAGTTTTCCAACATGAAGGAGAAGAAGTCAGATAGCTGGACAAAATAAAAATACATTAATCAATTAATGAACCCTGAACAGTTGCTGCAGCAAATGCTATCAGTGCTGTGTGCAAGTCCCTCATCGCCTGGGGCACTCATCTACCAGCTCCTGCCAGTGCGAAGGGTCCCACGAGTCCCTGCACTTGCAGTTGAGTAGCACTGGGTCGCCCCTCCTGGGAGGCTGCTCATAGACAACAATTCAATGAACTGAATTAAGCAACCAGTCCCCCACCTCCCTGCCCCTGTGTGGGACAAACTGGGACGCAATGCACATTTGAGAGCTCTTCATGGGATCAGTCTCAAGTTAGAGCTCTTCAGAAGCACAGTTTTACCTGACATCTTCGCCCATCCTGTCATGCTTTCCTCACTCCCTTAGAGGTTTTTTCCCCAGAACACTCCCTCAACAAGTCTCCAATCAGATGGGATCGGGTGCTTTCAGGGTGGTATGGCCGTAACAAGTATCATATTAGACTCCTTGCCTCAGATTCTGCTTCTAGGCAGTTCAATCTAAGACAGCTATGAAATTTTGCTGATTACAATCACTTCTTTTCACTTTGTGGTGAGATTAAGTGGTGCTTAAAAACACATCACTAAAACTGCAGCTCTTAATCAAGGAAAAGGGAACATTCAATTGGAACAAAGGGTATCATCTTAATAGCTGCCAAGAAGAAATACAGAAATTTAACTTTTTGAAATTTTCTTATTTTTAAAGCTTACAATGTGCTACATAAACTTGATGGTTAAAAGCCACAGACAATCCCAAATGAAAGTGAGAAATCCCTCTGAACATCCCCATCTTCTCATCAATACCACTTCTGTATCCAGAACTAGCTGCTGTAAACAATTTGTTATGTACCCTTTTTCCAGAATTTTAAATTTTCTTTTATTACATATGTGGTATAAACTCTCTGTATTATTATACAAGGTGATTTTTTCATCAACAACTATATTGGAGATCTTTCTAAGATCTTTTTTTTATTATTAAAAAATTCCCATTTTATTAACAAGTATTTAAGCTGGATTTATGAGTCTTTGTGGCAAGATTTAAAAAGGCCCTTTCACTCATGTATATTTTCTTCCAGAACATTCATAGGTTTGTTCCATGGAAATTCGTCCATTTTTAAAAATTTCTTAAAGTATTTTTCCCTTTATAAAATAACTACTTTTCACTAGGGCATATTCAAAAAATAGAATAAGACTATTTTTATTAGTAAACTAGACATCTGGTAGCCCTCTGAAAAATGCGAACTTCAAAATTCAGAAACACCATCCGCTTCCCAAATCACACTCTCTCAAGAGCTTGTTCCAAGGCAGCGTCACTACCTCTTCTATTAGAGACTTTCATGCTGAGTATGGTGACACATGCCAATAATCCCAGAACTCTGGGAGGCTGAGGCAGAAGAATAGCAAGTTGGAGCCCAGCAGGCTGTTTCCAAATAAAAAATGAAAAGGACTGGGGATCTAACTCTGTGCAAAGGCCCGGGATTCAATCCCAAGTAATTACCAAAAGGGAAAACACTAAAACCTTTCACCAAGTTTCCTCAGCTTAAAACTGATCCATATTTTCATTCTTTCAATAACAAGAAGTAAAGAGAAACATTTTAGCCGAAAGAGACAAGCTCGCAAAACAGACCTGCATTTGGCTTTGTTCATCAGCATATTCAATGGACTCAAAGACGGCAAGGGCATATTGCTGTCTGGCCCTCAGCCGAGCTCTGTAACCTCGGTACCAGTTCTGGATGATTAATGCGGCTTTCACTGCTGCAGATATACAGGACATGAAAGTCAGAGAAAAATGGTTACTATGCAGCTCTTTGGGGGAAGTAGGCACTTCAACAAAAAACAGTCAGTCCACTTGAATTCCTAGGTTCTGAAAATATAAAAAGTACAATGAGATTGCCTCTATTTTTTTTTGTTTGTTTGCTTGTTTTTTGAGAGGGGATTTCACTATGTAGTTGAGACTGACCTGGAACTCACTATGTAGCCCAGGCTGGTCTCAAACTCACAGTGATCCTCCTGCCTCAGCCTCCCGAGTGCTGACAGGTGTACACCACCACACCCGGCTTGCCTCTATTTTTTTAAATAAAAATGTCCTCAAGTCTCCAACAGTGAGAGAGTAATGATGACATAGCCATTAAGGGTAGAAATTTCAGAATAAGAATTCTTAAATTTTAACCACAGCCCTGCTTATTACTGTCTGTGTGACTTTGAGAAGTTATTAAAACTCTAAGCACCTCGGTTTCCTCATCTGTAAAATGGGGATGGTAATAGCACCCACCTCTGGCACTGCTTAGAAATATTCCATTCTTCACTATACTATATTCTTCAAAGAATATCCTTAAAGGAGACATATGGAGGACTGGCGATGTAGCCTAGTGGCAGAGTGCTTGCCTAACATGCACAAGGCCCTGGGTTCAATCCATTGCATCATCAAAGAAAAAAAAGATTTTTTAAAAATGGACATAATGGAGATGCAATTGCTTCTTTGTGGTGGTAGGGAGTCTGATATCACCACAGCCTGGCTGTCCACCTCTAGGGAAGAGAATGTGGATCTGAGATGGGTGCACACTGTGGAGTATCATGGCACAACTGGAAGCAATCTGTTAAATAACCAATAGTAATGTGTGTAGGTCTTAAAAATAGTGCTTCCACTAAAAAAGTTATTAAAAGTCAGACACAGAACCAAATACAACACAATAACATTTTGTATCAATTAAAAATATACATACATAAACCATAATATACATTTCAAAAGAGTATAAACAAAGAAAATATACTACATGCAATAGAATGGTTAATTATAAGAGAGGCAGATACACATGATAAATGGATAAAAGGGAATAAACAAAATAATTAATACAAAAAAAGAACTTGTACAGATCAATGATGACAACATACAATGAACTGAGAAGTTTGATTCACTCTACTTTCTATACCTGAGAGCCAATAGGCCAAAGACAGATGGATAGATAAGACACCTTACACCTTAGTGAGACACTACAAATGAAATGCTGAGCCTAATGCCTGCTGTGAAGCATATGGTAAACAAACTGAAGCTTTAAGTATTATTTTGTTTTGTGGACTATTCAGGCACACTGTCTCTTGTGTGGATCTGGGTAGCCTTTCAACCATCCTGTAGTTTCACAGTATTAAAGAAAGATCAGGTGAGAGATAATGGGGTTTAAAATATAGTCTCTTATGCCTCAAGTTTTAGAGTGAACAGCAATCAACAACAGCTGGCTCCTTTTAGTCATGCTGTCATTTTCTCCAATTAGGACATAAAAATGAAGTGTTGACTATAACAAGAATATTCTGAAAGCAGAGGTCCCACCTCCAGTAACAGCATCCTTTGCTTTGGTATTGTGTGGTACACTGAGTATCTGACCTGGTTACCCTAGAGTGATAGGCTCTAGAGACTCCTGTTTCATTATTCAGCTTTCAGAAAATTTGGGGAAATATACTTAAGGTCAAGTATCACGATCTTTACAGAGTGATTTGTTCAATATTGCAAAGCAAAGGAGTAGTAATACCATGGCCAAAGTCTCAAGTGTTCTCTAGATAGCATTATGGAGAGCTCAGGCTCACCCAAACTGCCTGTACCTTGGGAAGTCACTGTCATAATGAATCAATCCTCTCTCCTCAGGGGTTCCTGCTATTTTTCAAGCACAATGCTCCCATTCTTGTGAAGTGCACTAAGCACTTACTGAGAACCAGGCATGTGTGAATTCCTGCAATCCTCACAACACTGTGAAACAGAGAGGCTGAGGAAATGACTTAGGCTCACTTAACCATCAAGTGGAAATGGACTACAAGGATTAGAACTCAGGTCTGACTGATTCCAGAGACCAAGATTTTAACCTCCAAAGAGCTACTGGCTTTTGCTGTGCCTCATCTTCTTCACTGTACAATAATGTAGTGGCAAAATGATGACTGAAGTCTCTTCTGTTTAGTTTTAGCAACCTCAATAATAAATAGCTAAGTTTATTATTTCTAATCTGTACATTTCACAGTTGTCTCTGTTAGTTAAATAATAACACCTTGATACCTACTGGACAATTTTTTACATTCAATCAAATTCTCTCTATTCACATCTTTGTAGTTTAGACTAGACCCAGCCTGATAAGCTGGTCTCAGCAAGGTAGGGAAAGTAGGCCCTATTTAGGCCTCAAGCTCCCTACTTCCTGAGTGCTCCAACTCAGGCCCCTATATTGGAGTTTTGAGTACTTGTGCAGTAGTTGAAAAAGTGGGCTTTGATCCACATTGCATCATTATTCCTCCAGTATACAGTTCCATCTAAAACCTTTCCCAGACATGGTGGAGCAGTAAGCAGTGGTGGGTCAGCTTCTCTGAGACTCAGAATCCAGACACTGGAATATAATAATTTGGGAAAGAAAAGAAGGAGGGAGGTGAGTCCCTGGGAGCCAGGAAGGATTGGAAGGGAGAATTGTAGCCCATGGAGACAGACTCCCAGCTCACGAGTGAGAGAGAAGAGGCTCAAATATCCAGACACACTGAAGGTGGGGGACCCCAGAGGTCTCCATGGGGAAGTGCACCAGTGTAACAGAACAGTGGACAGTGTGAATTACAACAGCTGGTGAGTGACCATAGTCCAAGCATCCCCCTGGAATGGGAGCTTGGCCAGTTGCCATATTAGTGAGGGGACAAACTGAACCAGGACTCAGAGCAGCCATGGGTTGGCTCCTTCTCAGGGCTCTCATTGACTGGGTAAGGTACAACCTCAGGAGATACCCAGGGAGCTGAGGTCAGGCTGGCAAGAGATACCCAGAGACTTGTAGGCTGAACAAATCAGGCCCCAACCCCACAACCAGAGGCCAGGGTCAGCCTGAACTTCTGTGGAGCTGAAAGCACCAAAAAAAGTATCCTGCCTGATTCCTATCGCAGGATTTTTGGGATTATCCAGTACCCTGCCCTAATCCTACTTCAGTCTTGCTAGGATCATTCAGCATAGATTTGGGTTCTGATACCTTTTTCTACGGTGACAGCAGAGACACACCCTTAATAGGACACTGCCACAAAACTGCAGACCCCAGAAGATAACTATAGGATTGAAATAACACAGAAATCTCATTTTTTAATCTTTCCTATTTTTCCTTTTTTCTTAATTTTTGTTGTTTCATGAATATGAACACTGTTTTTTTTTTAGTTTTGGGGGTTTGTTTAGTCCTTATTCTTATCTTTTCCCTCTTTCTTTCCCTCCTATCTTCTCTACCAGTCTTCCAAACCTTGAGTAATCTTCCTTTGTCCTTTGGCTTTACTTCTAATCTTCCTATATTTTTTTCCTCTTATCCCTTTTAAATTTTTTCCCCTAAGAGTAAAATCTCTCTGTTGAGGGGATAGCTATTATATACAATTTTTCTGATTTGTTCTAGATTTTATTATATAACTATAAAATCTTATACCCATGGTTTAAGGTGGCAAATTAAGTAACCAAAGTTTGTCATTTTCTGGACTGTACTTGATGCTATTATTATTATTGATCATACTATTTCAGCCAAGATGACATAGTTGGTATGATCTGTTGTTCTTCCTTATATATCAATGCCAAGATTGTCTGGAGGTCATAAACAATACCATAAAGCAGCACCAAAGAACTAGGTGCTATCCCAAATAGGCAACAAATTCTCATCCCTAATAAACTGAAGAGGCAGGATTTTGGGACACACTCAAAAGCCAAAAGCCAGCTACACTTAGAAGACATCTGTGGAAAGTATTCATTTCCTAAGTTCTCGATACTAGTAGCAAAGCTACATACTATAAACAATTTACAAGCATCAATGCAGAAAACAATTTTTAAAAATAGCAAGATGGATGCAGTCTAGACCTCCAGTTCACCCAAGACAAATCCAGGGGGCATTGAAGTAGAAGAAATCATAAGCCACCCAGCTGAAATTTCTGAAATGGTAGCAGCAGAAGTGAGAAAGCAGATAAATGAGGCTCTAGAAAAAAACAACTCAGAAAGTCACACAGATGACTAAAAAGATGATCGTAATGAAGGACATGGTTAGTGAATCTATAGTAGACACAGACTTTTTTTAAAAAAATAGAGGAGTTTGGAAAAGCAATGGAAACCATGAATGCCCAACATAGCAAAGAATCGCATTCCATAAAACACATGATTCAAACAGATATCCAGGAGATTAAAGTCTACTGAAAATATATGCAGCAGAATCACCTAATGTGAGGAAAGAACATCAGATCTAAAAAACAGGTTTGCAATTAGAGATCATCAAATGAAAGACATTAAAAATAGCAAGACTGATAGGAATCAATGAAAAAATCAGAAGATAGCACAAGTGACATAAAAAACCTGTTCACAGAAGTAATGACAGAAAACTTCCTAAGTATGATAAAATAATTTGACATACAGATAAGTGAGGCGTAAAGAACTCCAATTAGCCATGATCAGATAAAAATTACACGAAGGCATATAATAGTCAAATTCCAGAAATTCAACACAAGAATTGAATGTTAAAAGCTATCAGAGAAAAGAAACAAATCATAAATGAAGGAAAACCTATCAGAATCACAGCAGACTTTTCAACCCAAATCCTTAAGTCAAGGAGAGATTGGAGTGAAGTATTTCAAGCCCTAAAAGAAAACAACCTCCAACCCAGATTGGATGTAATCTGAAAAACTAGCATTCAAAATTGATAGAAAAATAAGATACTTCCATGATAAAAAATAACTAAAGAAATTCATAGCCAACAAGTACACTCCAAAAAGCTCTGAAAAATATTCTA